AAAGTAACTGTAAATACAGAACCTTCCCTGGGAGGTCCCCTCACCACATACAGGAATCCACGTCGAGGGGAGCAATTCGTCAATTAAGTAACTATTAAAGTAAAAAACATGCAGAAATAAAGACATATAGAAATTTCAAGGGTAGCATTTGATATTAAGAAGTTATAACTGTATTAGAACTGAAAATTGAAGCATAAGTGTTTGAACCAGTGACTGTTACCATTCATATTAGAGAACTGTTAAGTGGACTTTAATGGTGCACATTGAAAAATCTTTATTAAAAGACAAAGAAACTAAAAGAGGAGAAAAATTAAGAAAGTGTAGGTGGCCAAAGTCAACCCACATCAAAATCTTAACCAAACAACCAGAATGATACTTGGTGCTAATATTAGTGACCAAAGCCTTCATAGGTCAAACTTATGACACTTGTTGATAATATTAAAATTCCCAAATTGATATAAAATATTAGGCTTAAACACAAAAACAAGCAGCATGACAGGCTTATCAGTCCACTCATACATCATTGAAATAATTAGCTCAATGCTAGTCAATATATTAAATTTTAATCTAAATATATAACTACATTAAGTATAGTGTCACAACAATAACAAGGAAAGAACATATTTTTGTTGTTGTGCTTAACACTAACTAGATCACTTTTGAAAGATAAATTTAAATTTTAAACTGTGCTGCCCTCTCTATTCACAAATGTTTTTTCTCACCACTAGCCTTGAAACTCCCACCCACCTCACATTTAACATGGTTCTAATGTGTCTTTGTATGTAAATAAGCATGCAGCAACCCTCCACTAATAGGAGCATGACACTCTCTCCTGAGACAAATTACTTCCTCTATACTATTCAGCCTAACTTTCACTTCGAGATTAGGCACAAAAGAAGCACCAGAAGCAGAGAGCAGGTAAGTAAGTATCTATCAGAAATATATTTTCAGTGTAGGAAAATATTAACTTTTGATACAGTATCTTATCTCCACTCATACAATAGCTAGAATCCTACATTGAAGAGGTTGAGGGACTGGTGCAAAGGTTACCCAGAAGAGCATCCTTCAGAAAGCATCTCAAGAATGTTTATGGGGTGTAACCTCTGTTGAAAGAAGAACACTCCAATGGGAGACTGTATCACATCTGTACCAGGTATACTCTTCACCCAATGAGATAGTAAGAATTGAATAAATGGATAGAAATTAGTTGAAGCACATTCATTAATGTAAAAATGTTGGTCGGTCCAATTCAACACCTAACATAAACACCAGGGAATCAACATCCAGGAGATGGTAAGATGGAGGGTTCCCAACCAAATATAGTAATGGTGTGGAAAATGAAATGGATGTGCCCTGCAATGTAGAATGGCTAAGGCACATCAGACCATACTCTAGTATAAAACCAGGTAGCCTTGGGTATTTATCATCTATTCTGTAGTAGGATGAGGGTCTCTACCATTTTCACCTCAAGCCTATGAGACAGAAGGAAAGATGCTCCATTCCATCTGATTAGACAGGGCACGTGTGCAGATCCACAACCAATATCAGCCACTCGGAAACCCGACATCTGAACAACGGTAAGAAGGTGGTACACCCAAATCCAAAAACAACAGGTTCCTGGTCCATCTCCATGTGCTACTAGAAAAAAGTAGTTACATTGAAATCATAGTCCCCAACAGCAACAGAGCATCTCACACGGTATGAAAGGCACAAATCCTAGTAGCTCCATAGTGGCAGACAGATAGAAGTTTGAGCACGGCTGAGAAAGAAGTTGAAGAAAATTCTCAGGTGAACAAGATATTGTGGGGGAGTGAGGAAAGATTTGAGTTTGGACAAGCCACCCATAACAGACAGCTTTCCGCAGAAGAAAGAAGGGAAGACACTTCTTGAAACTGACCAGAGAAGCCAGTCATCTTTGCTGAAATAGAATCCTAGTTCCAGTCCATGCAGATGGCAAACAAAGGCACTTACTTTGTGGTTGAAGACATAGGGGGTCGATGCAATACCAAGTGAAATAGCTCAATGAATGAAGTGAAGGAAACATTGTTAGGATTCTGCAATGGGGATATGCATAAACACATCCAAAACACTGACCTTGGTCATCCACAGTCTGGGCAAAAATGTATAATGAAGGGAAAATAAATTTTCCATAGGAAACTGTGGAATGACTGAGTGAGGAAAGATTGACAACTGAATGTCAGTCCCTGATCTATTTGGAGACCATTAAGAAACAAGAGTAACACCCCAAAAAAGGGTCTTAAACCCTCTTTATGGTTTGTCCAACAAATCTGACACTGCATCATCGAGACATAGATAGGTGGTATCTGATGGATGAGGAAAGAAAACAAAGATGAGGACTGAGAGGAGGAGAATGAATTGAAGAGAAAGTCTTTGGGTAAGAACTAAAGCAGCCCACCTGTCTGTGGAAAAGTGTGACCAGTCACCATAGGTGTGGAAACCATGACAGACAGGTCCCACAAAACCTGACCCAATATCTATTACAATATAAACAACCTTCCGTTCAAGGTGTACACAACTTTAAATAAACATTCTGCAATACAATTACCAATATAAGCACACAAGTTAATTTGAAAACCATGGCAATGCTACATACTTTATTCCTCAAAATTATTTTTTCTTCCTGATAACATTTCTCAAGTTTTTATTTGTTGCTTCTTCAGATCTTTATAATACTAAAGAAGTGAAAAGACAAATTCACAAAACATTATATAGAAAAATTAACTTTTCATGGGTAGGGTAAAACCATAAGACCAATATTTTAGACTTCAAATTAACACTGCAATGCTAGCCTGGTGTGGCTAGTGGATTCTTGTCAGGCTTTGCAATTCATAATTGTAGTAATGTCACATCAAACTCTTTATTAAATATGCCCATCACCGTGTTTGTACAACCTCTGGTACTATGAAATATAATTAATACATATTACACTTATAAATTCTCACTTCTAACAAATTTTGTGCAATAAAGGCTGTTACGAGCTTATTATAAGTTAAATAACATACATATACTAGTACAAATACCACATCAAGTGTACCTTATATACTGTGAAGGCCAGAACTTGAAAACGGTAGGCATTTTCTAACAGTATTCCATGTTTGAAAGAAAATCCATAACTTTATCTTCATAATGCAATTTAAAACCTGCCTAGAAAAAACCTTTTATAAATTAAAATTTTACTTTAAAAACCAATTTACAGACTTAATGTGATGATCTCTTCCAAATGCAAGTTAATGTACTAACACTTTTCCACTCAAAACTCTTAAGAAGTAAAAATAAAGAATACCAACCACACTATACCTGCTATATCCAGTGCAACTGAGACCTTTCACCCAATAACACATTTCATCAGATCAACTGCGATACAATAAACACAGTAATGGTTGAGACATTGTATAGCAAGGAAGGACCAAACTTTGAAAAAACCCCAAAATAGTAATAAAAAACAACAATGAAACACTGACTTATTATAAATAAGGGTTAAAGAATTTTTTTCATTATTTAATTATTTTTGTATTAAATACAATTTTGAGATATGTTTAAATCACAAGAAACTAATAAAGTATTTAAATAATATTGAATTTTTGAAAAACCTTATAAGGGGAGAAGGCCATTCTAATACTTCTTGGTGCTGTTTTGAAATTTGACCCTTTCATAACACTAAAATAAAATCTCAAATGCTATACAAGTAGAACTCATCTATGCTGATTATTATACAAGTTTTTACCCTTAAGCATAATTTAAGTATCTATGTAATATATAAATCATACCCAGTGTTTCTAACATTTACATCATTCACATAAATTGATCAGGTATAAAAGCACAGCAAATTGGGGTATGTTTGGTGAGCTATTCCCTGTGAAATAACCACGTTGTTCAGCTAGCGATATGCAATGAACACAGCACGAATTGATATTTTACATCCCAATTTTTGAAGAAAATTTGATAACATACTTACACTAAGAAACTATTTAGTACTTCAAGACTTCCCTTGCAAACCTACACTGAGAAGGTAAAAATTTAAACCCACATTTTATGTTTTCAGGTAATTATTGATTCTCTCTCATATTAAACTTGTAAAATGCTGGCCTTTACTATTGCTGATTCCATAAGCCAGTCACCTTGTTAAACTCTTAACTGGGCCCTAACCTGTCTTTTTCCAAATCCTAAACTTGTATCCTCTCCTCTCACTGTCCCCAAAATACTGCACAAAGAAATCAGAGCCCTTTAATATTTTATCCATCTCCTAGATAACATAAGCTTTAACTGTAAACTCATCCCTTACTCTTCTTTTCTCAAGAGATCTTAACCTATCCCCACAACAAAATCCTTCCATCTCTGGAATCACGCCAGTAACCATCCTTTGAACACTTTCAATAAGTGAATATCCTTTCTTAGATACAATCAAAACTGTACACAATATTTCACATGAAGCCTAATTAGTGATTTGTGTGTGTATATAATTAAGCACAATTTTCTCTCTTTACTTGTTATAAATATGTCTTAAAAAAACAACAAAGTTATAATTTTCCTATACTGAAAATGAATTTCTAATAAGTACTTATCTCCGCTATTCCCGTTCACTGCTTCCCTCTATATGCAAACTTTTTCTTTACACATACCATAAACCTTCTTCTCCCCATATTGGAATTGTAATATTCCAACATGTCTCTCATGCAAATCATTATGGGTCACTTCTCCACCAATAAGAGCAAGACATGCTCATGTGATGCTTTTAACTCCCTCTATATTCATCTACCAAACTATCACTTCTAAGTTAGGCAGAAGACTTAAGCACCAGAGGAAAGTGGGGAGGAAGGGTGGGAAGTATGTGAGAGGTAAGTTCCTATTAGAAACAGATTTTTCACTGTAGGAAAATTATAACTTCCGAAACCCTATTTTGAAAAGCAGACCATACCAAGCTATTCACTACAGGCATGGGCAACTATCCCCTGCGGCTTTACCCATGCAGTTCGTGGGTGGTATGGTCCGGGACGTGCATGTTTAAGAAGCAAGGTTATTCACCTTCAAGTGATCTTGTGGAACACCCCATCTCAACGTGAGCATTGCGAAGCTATGGAATATAAAGTGCAAATCAACATAGCTGTACAGTGCAGATTTCAAGTTAATTCCAACAGAGTGGAATCCATATAATGAGGGAATGAGGAAAAAGTCCCTGAAAGGTAAAGAAAGTATGAATAGAAACTTACCAGAGTCGTGCTGAAGTCTGAAGAATGGTCACAGGTGGAAGGCAAAAACCCAACAAAAAATAAACTGCGATATGTTGTAGATAGTGGGAGACAAATGTATTGGACGTGGTCCACATGCATTATTGTAGAATCTCATCCAATGGACGATGAAAAGGTGAGATGTCTAATCTGAAGAGAAGACACCTGGAACAAATTCCGGGAGGAAGAAGGTAAGGAGAAATAAACCAATCTGCTCAAATGTTGGACCCATTAGTACGTGTAAGTGTTGAAGGTGAAAGATCATAAAGGGAGGAAAACTGACAGGGGATAAAGAGTCTGCAACGGGTATCATGGAAGGAAGCCATATGGGCAATATTACAATGAAGAGCCCTGACCAGACACAGAAGCTGATCCAGATCTGGTTGAGGGTAAAGATGCAAAGGAAGGGAAATAGACGAAAAGGAGGAGCCACCTCCCGAGTCACTGAGGTCTTTGGGAGGAAAGAGCAATCTGGATAAAGGAGATATGCAAGGTGATAAAGTGTGCACGAAACATCAATGGCAAATAAATCCAACTGTCAATGTCAACAGGCTAAAAGGAGAAGTAAATATGTTTTGAGTGAAAGGTGAAACATGGAACACAAAGAAAGTGGTTCAAAAGGAGGTAAAGTGAGGGAATGGAGTACCACATTAATATCCCAGTCCAGAAGGGTAGGTTGCCTGGGAGGGCAACGCAACCAGAAGGAATGCAAGAACATGGTAAGAACAGGTGAAGTAAAAACTCTATGGTATCGAGAAAAACTGAAGGTATGAGATAAAGCCACCCAATAACCCAAGACCCCTGGTCAAAAAGCCAAATTAGAAATTTGGCCACCCAAGCCAGAGTAGGCCAATCAGAGGGAAATCACTAAATTGTAAACCAACTGCAGAACTCCTTCCACTTGCACTGATACACCTCCTTGGAAGAAGGACGTATGGAACCAGCTAAAAAGAAAGCGACTAAACGGGAGAAACCAGATTTCCTCACCAAAGACCAGATAAACGCCAGGCATGAAGATGCAGAATGTGAAGGGTGGGATTTAGGACCAGCGACCGAGGTTGATGAAGAAGGTAGGGAGACAACAGAAAAGGTACAGGAGGGGAGAGTAGCAGGTGCTGTAACTGTGGGAACCATGGCTGAGCTGGCCAACAAGGAGCAATCACAAAAACCCGACAAGAAGTGGTATAGATGAAAGAGATCACCTGATGAAGTAATCTGATAGGAAGATAAACTTAAAGATATTTGTGGGACCAATCTAGGCTGAAGGCGTCACTGCCAGAGCCTGAGGATGAGGGACCAGCGATTAAAAGAGAGGTAACTTGTGATTGAGGCTCTTAGCAAAGGCATCCATGCAGGGAGAACTCCACCAAGTGCAGAGCTCCTGAAAACAAGGGGATCTAAAGACCATTCTGTAAGATATATCTGGTCAGGACAGGATAGATGATCTACAATAAGATTGAAAGCACCTGGTGCATGACATGCAATGAGATGAATGTGATGCATGTGGGCCCAGTATAAGAGATCCAATGTCCAAAAACATAGATATCTCGACATGGTGCCCCCTTGGAGATTGATATGTGTCACTACCATAGAATTGTCTGAATCAACCATAACCAGACAATGTTGAGTGAGAAGGAAGTGATTCAACACCAGACATACAGCTAGAAGTTTGAGAACATTGATATGCAAAGCACTTTTGTCTACAGACCAAAGGCCTGAAACTTCCTGGTGGTTGACCCATGCACCCTAGCCCTGCAGGGATGCGTCTGTGAAAAGATGTAAATCTGGACGTGGAGGAGGAAGTGGCACACCCACTGAAGTATGTGCCTCATTCAACTACCAAACCAGACTGTCTCACAGGGCAAGAGGAAGGGTAATGGGAGTAGAAAGAGTATCAAGCGAAAGGTTCCATAAATCATGAAGAGCCCACTGAAGGGATCTCATATGGACACAACTGAGAGGGTCCAGTGATGTCATTGAAGACCACATCTCCAAAATCATTAGTGGGTATGGCAAACTAACAATTCCATAGAACAAAGTCTGAAAGGAGAAGGCTGGGTCTGACTGATACAAGTGTCAAAAAGGACCCTCAAATGGACAAGATATTGAGTAGGTCTGAGGAAGGACTTCTCTAATTTGATTAACCTGCCCACTCAAGCAGCCACTAAAAGGAACTGATGAGTATGGCTGACCAAATTCAGTTTTCAATAAGCCAGAAGAACCGGTCATCCATGTAATAGTGAAAACTCAACTCCAGAACATGAAGATGTTGAGCAAATGCTTGGACCACCTGACAAAAAACATTAGGGGCTGAAGCAAGCCCAAATGGTAGTGCTCGAAATTGATAAACCACCCTGAGATGGACAAACCAAAGATAAGAACAAGACCGGGGTGATATAGGTATATGGAGATAAGCGTTGGCGACATCCATTTTGGTCATCCATAAACCCAGAGAAAAAGCCTACCTCAGGGTGAGATAAGACTCCATGGTAAACTATGGAACAACAAAAAGTCAGGAATAAAAACCTGTTGAAGGATGGAGAACAAGTTCGATGGCCTGCTGAGATAGCAATTCTAAAACTGCTTCCGATAAATGCAGGATCCCAAGTAGGAGAGAATGAAAAGGGGAAAGGAAGGGAATCACAAATCCTTCTGATAAAACCAGAAGAATCCATTGATCCTCGATGAAGGAATGCCAGCGATGAAGTAAATTGGCAAGCCAAGCTCCCACAGGTACCATTGTCGATGTTAGGCGTGTCATAAAAAAAAGACAAGAGGCACTCCACAACGAAGAGACTGGTAAGGGTTGAGAAGGGGAAGGATGGGAAATGGTAATAGGTGACATATGAGGCTCTGACTGAGACAAACATGCAACAATATTGGTAAGAGTAGATTGTGGACCGATACCACCCATGTCTCTAGCATTGACTGGATTGTATCAAAAATGTATCTCTGCAAAAATGGGGCCATACATAAATCCCAAAGATAAGTTGATGGTAAACGGACCAGAGCCAAAATCACATCACAACCTAGAATGTCCCAACAATAGAGAAACTACATATGCAAAGCCAGAGCCAAAGACAAATGAGCAAGTGTGGAGGAAAGAAAGGAAAAGGTATCCACAGAAAACCCCTCAGGATTTCTGTGAAGAGCCTCAGAGAGGAGGTGTAGAGAAGAAAGATACCGTAAAATAGTTGCAAGGATAAGATGCAGGCAAAAAAACTGGGCATGGATCAGACTGACAGGTGATTCAGAAGCAGCCCCCCAAACAGACAATATTGCACCTAACAACTGTTGGTCCAAAAAGGGACAGTCAGCATGATGGTATGAAGGCGTAAGCTGCTTTGAAGCCTGCGGGAGGCAAGGCATGATAATCCCATCACTTAATTTGCAAGGCAAGTGGATCAGCATGAACCCAAAAATCAGGAGAGAGAGAGGAAAAACCAAAAAGGGGTGAGAGGATTGATCAATTAACAAGGAAGGACGTGGCTCATAAAAAATCGGAGAAAGGGATAAAACATCACATACCTGAGAAACAAAATCCAAAAAGACCAAGTTATGTCTAACTGATTCTTCAGAGGGGGGGGGCTGGTAAAATCAGGAGGCAGAAATAGACAATTCAAGTCCTCATCACTTTGAACAGGCTCTGTCTGTTTGGGAGGAACCAGGGCAAAGTACGAGGCCATAGGCTGGCCCATGTAATGTTTGATCTCCCGGCACCTGAGGCCTGAGAAAGAACGCTAGTCACTGGTGTGATTCCCGAAGTGGTAATATGAACTCCAGAAATTATTGTGTAGAGTCCACCAAATTTGAGCATTGAATTTAAAAAATAATGTGACTGGAACTAACTGATAAAATTTTTTCAAGTGAAGAAACTGTAAGAATGAAAATTCAATAAATTAAAGAAAACCACTTTATGAGGAAACGTAAGCTGAATGTGAATCGTCAAACAAACAAGAAGCACGTCCGAACACAAGCGCTGTCAAACGAGAAGTGATAGTTCGGTAGACGAGTATAGAGGGAGTCACATGCATCACACGTGCATGTCATGCTCTTATTTGTGGAGAAGTGACGCATGATGATTTGCATGAGATACACATTGGAATATTACAATTCTAATAGGGGAGCAGAAGGCTTGTGGCATGCATAAAGAAAATGTTCACATATAAAGAGCAGCACCGAATGAGAATAGCAAATTTTTTGAGCGGAAGTAAGTACCATATCAAAATTCTATCAGCTCTACTGTGTAATATCTATATATATATATATATATTTGTAATATCTCAACATCTTCAGTAATGTTAAAAATACCAAAGTTAAATGTTATATGCTAACTTTACCAATCTACTAATTATGTTCTACTCATATAATTATTGTAAATAACAAAAGTAAAAGGTCCAAGCGCTGACCCCTGAGAAACTCCACTAGTATGAAGGGTCCAGTTTGACTGGACTCTAGTAAAACCTTTTGCTTTCTCCAATACAATTAACTAAAGTTTTCCCAATCTCTGCTACTGTAGTTATCTATGGTTCCTGTGTATAAGCAATCCTTCTTGTGTGACCTTGTCAAAAGCTTTATGAAAATCTAAGTACATGAAGTCCACACCTCTTTCATCTTGCAGATAACATTTTTCAAAAAGTTAACAGATTAGTTAGGCAAGGTTTCCTTTTAAGCAAATCTATACTGGTTTTCTTTTATGACACCATATTTCACTAAATGATTTTGTAAAACTTCTTTTATCAGATCTTCTAGAATTTTCCCACACTAACTGACTTATAATTTACAAAGTAACTGTTATCACCACATTTAATAATAGAAGTAACATGACCAGCTCTTCAATCCTCAGGTTACTGTCCACATCTACTAACCTTCCAAAAATAAAGACATTGTATAATTGATCTTTGATCACATTTAAAATATTGCCTCTTATAAAAACAAAAGGGAACATTCAAAGTTCAACCATCTCATAGTGTTCAACAAAAACAATGCCATCAGCATCCTACTGTATCACATAATTTTGTTTTTAACTAAATCCTTTGCTTTCCTATAGTTCTATAAATCTTCCAACCAAGCTCTTAAGAACTTATGGCATTTATTCCCGACTTTTTTCTTTTATGCTTCAATTTAGAAATGTTTATCTTGAATTAAAAGCAACTCATCTCAAAACATTTCCCAAATCTGATTTACAATTATCTTTTATAACTTATTATCCCAATTCAGTAATGACACGTTTTGTTATGGCTTCAAAACTGATTTTCTGAAAATTAAAAACTAAAATTAAATTTATATTTACTTCAACACGTAGCAAAACATCAAACCTAATTATCCAATAATTATTCAACCTCAAATGTTCTCCTACTTGAACTTTTGCAACCATATCTTTATTGCTTAACAAAATCTAAAATTACACTTATTCTGGTTGGCTCTTTGAAAATGTTGTATATAAAAAACATCCTTAATGCACTTTAAGAAACCTCCCTCCCTCAGTATTTGCCTCCATACAATCCCCCATCAATGTGTCTAAAATTAGCTTCCCATGGTTATTGCAACATTATTCTTAATAGTAAAAACCCCTCATGTTACTGTAGTAATTTACACAAATTATCAAGCAAACCTAAACATTTGTTTCATAAGGAGTTTAATTATAAACATTTGCATATTTCATACCAAATTGAAACATAAGGAAAAATTACAAATTTTCATCACCATGAGGGACAATCATCAAACACACCTACCAATTTTGTGCTTTCACCTTCATCATGACTAGTATCAACACTCAAAGTACACTCCCAGTCCCATGGTTAAATTTAATTAATAGTTAAACACTGATTTAGAGACAGTGTCAAACAATGATTGTGATATTTTAAACTTATTTTGGTGTCTAACAACCTACTTATGCAGATGCTAATGTTAATAATAATATAAATAGTAGTTATATTAATTATTATAACTATATATATATATAATAAACTTCAATTATTTGTGCTGGTAATAATCAACACCTTCAGAGAGAAAAAGGAAAATTTTCACCACTCTCTTTAAATGAGATTTAGAAAGTATTATTTTATTCCTAATCTTCTGAGACTATACTACGTTAAATGTCTTAAAATAAAAGTTAAATTGGCCTGTTCTCGTTCAACAGCAACGAACACAATTAGGCCTAACAATAACATTAAATAACAGCACAAAAGTACCTCCGATCAAAGGCGGGAATAGTATTAAACTTTATATTGCTTGCTTAGGATATAAATGCCATTAGCTGTCTCTTTTTAACCCATGACAGCCTAACTTTAAATTGAACGAAAATATATGCCTTATTTTTTGATAAAAAATTAGCAAAATATATTTATATATATATCCAAAGTATAAGCAAGAGCATACTTACTAAGCCTAAACTTAACAGTGTACTCGTACAGTTTGAACGCAACGCCAGAAAGCGATAACTGCGTACCTAGTGCTCAATTTTAGAAACATTTGTTACCTAAACAAGACTGAATTAAGGATAAAAGAATTCAATAGGCCTAAAATTTGTAATAAAAATCACGTCAACGGCAGATGGATTTGTTCCACATCTAATGTTTCGCCAGCTTTTAGCGTATAAACCACAAAGAATAAAATGATAAAATTGTGTTAACTGAATATGTTTTTCGACTTTCCTCTTAATTTGTCCATTGCGGCCCAAAACCAGAGATGTATAAAAAAGACCATTTCAGATCCAGCATTTTAAAATTTTCACTTTTAAAAATAAAGAGTGGTACACAGTTTTGCATTTTTGTAAATGCGGTCTGTAAAAGTTTAAAATATTGCTTAACAGCAAACTATTTTATGTTTTTATTGGTTCACAGATCTTTCGACTTATATTTCTCATTAAACATCCAACAATATACACTGAGTGGTCACAAGTAAATAGACACCTAATTTTTTGTCACTTAACTGATTTATGCTAACTAATTTGTGTTCACAGAGCACTATATAAATGAAAATGGTCCGCACACTAATTATCTTGCGCTACAACATGCCTAGAACTCAAGGTTTTCTCGAATTG